CACTTGAACCTTATGAGTTAAGAAGCAAAGTATAACTACAGAGGGAAGGCCTTGTTTCCACTCATAAGCACAACCAATCGAAATGGCCGTTTAGTGGTGAGGACCACTTTAACCTGACCTGACCATTTACTTACTTAATAAAAGACTCGACTTCGTGAATCGGAGCGGCGTTGCGCCCTTGAATCACTGCGCTACGAGGAACTGCTTCTAGAGCTCGAGTCTTCAAGAATGCGACAAAAGTACGAGAGTATTGAACTTACGGGCGGTGTTCATCCGTCAGCATCCGTCACACCCACTGCTCCTCCCAACGGTCTGGAATACGCACTTCCAAAGAAAGGAACTGTTTCTACTGACACCACCACATTCAAGCATTCCTGCCCTGGTAGGTCTTCAAGACACATGGTCAATACGGAATGGTACATCGAGTGTTGATGTTTGATTGTTTGGATAAATACTAAATACTAAGCAAATGTCCACTGATTGGAAGCCATAGGACTTAAAGGCCATGTCTGCCAACACTAAACATTTACGTCAGGTTTTAGTGTATAACCACTGTTAACATAAGAAATGTGTTCCCAGACAACATCCATTTTTTAACGCACGTAACGCTAAAGACTGTTTAACTTTCACCAATCCTACTATTCTTCTTGTCTTTAAACGGAGGAGGGAATCCTTGCCTTTACGAATGATAACCTCTTACTGGCAAAATTGGATTTTACTTTCGATCCTTTCATAGTGGCAAAAGTTAAATTGTTTGGAATTCTTAGAATTTGTAGACGACAGACCAAACAATGTCTGGTGCTGCTCGAAGGTGGAAAATTTTCAAACCGATGGGGAGCGAGACCTTTCCAGAAGAGGTGAGTTTCAATTCGTGCAGAAGCTCCTAGACCTCAAACCACATCCCTATCTCTACGTATAAAGGCTTGTAATGTTGAACTGTAAGTACACTACGACTTTTCCCTTGTCTTGAAGCGGTTACTTAGACGGGGCTCTGTTAAATGGAAAAAACACTGTTAATCAATGTATTTCGGTGGTACTCATGCCCACCAGCCGCATAGGTGATTGCAATTATCATAATATTCGATTATTGAGGCAATATTGAGCGGTCCTAGCAGCCTTGTTGCCGCCCTTTTCGATGCTAAATGTTTTACAGATGCTCAACACAATCATCTTGTGCTAATAAGTATTCATCATACTCTACTCGACATGACAGACGACAGCAGTCGCGGATTTTTCCGAACTCTAGTGCAATGCTAACAGTAGTTGGCCACTTGCAGACCTTAGAGTCCTGCTCAAATCAGACGCTTATTGATTGGTTTGCGGTTAGCCAATGAGCTTCTGAGCTAATGTCATTGAAATTGTGTACTCATGGGTACGCTTTGGCGCTCTAATAAAGCTCATGCTGCAGCTTCATTCCTTTGTTATTGGTAGATGATTGGTAAAAAAATAAAAAGGAAACACAGCCTATTAACACCATGTATGTCACACGTTCGCCTAGGTGACCAGGTTTTAGCACCTTCGATCCATTTTTTGTGCAGTGCCTGCGCCCCGAGGGATAGCGTTGGAGAAACAACTAACTCACAGTGTCATTGTGAGTTGGAAACCGCCAGGATTTCTAGAGAATGAAGAGGAGGAGGAAGTGACCGCCTATCATGTCTACGCCGATGGCCAATTTCGAAATTCCGTGGGCGGACATGAGAAGTGTCGAGCCCTGGTTGAAAATGTTGATAGTTCCAAGGTGAATGGCCTAATTTTAGCAGTTTGCAAATGACTATTGTCTTGGCTTGGGTGATGAGGTAACAATAGTGGAATCCATTTTTTGCCACTTCAACGTAGAATGGGGAAGTGAAGTGCATTTTTATCTCAAAATTGGCGCAAAGGGTCAAACACAATTCGGAGACTCATGACGCCCCCAAGTAACTTATTTTGGAACAGTCGTGGTGTGGATCATTGGTGCGGCGTAAATCCCGAAGTCTTTGCTAAATTTTGTGAATAAACCCACTATTTTTGGCTATAGCAATGAAATAGTCTCCGGCTTACAGTCTTGGGTGAAAGTCTATGAAGGCACCCTTTTTAGGGAGGGCAGTGGATTCTGTTCCTTCAAACTGATTATCTCTTAAAAGATACTCTTTACAGGGGTCGTCCCTGTGGTCTGGGGACTGACATAACACGTGGAGTACACAAGACTTCGGTTTTTTAATTGAAGCGTGTTAGCGATTATGATGGCGATTAGTTGGATTTTGCTCATGTCGCAAATGTGATTAAAACGCTTTTTTCTGCCTAACTCTAAAAATAGGAATATTTCAGCCAAACAAGATGCGTCGGAGGCGAGAGCATGTTTCTGGGGTCAAAATCTTTGCAATAGCAAAGAATTCCATCTATTGCATAAGGCGACGTATGGAGTTCGAGCGCAACATAAATCTTCCAGATGAACCTAAACAAGCACATTTGTCGTCAGATTGCAGTACTGAACGCACTTTCGTCTAACCTCGCTTTGTACAATCAAACAATTGTAGCTGTCAGAGAAACAAAATGCGGAAAGCTTTAGCAAGAGATCGTCAATATTATTCTACCTTCCAATTAATCTTCCGCTGTTCTTCTGACTGGGTCTAAATTTTCTTCAATTTTCCCATTCACACTGTCTGGACACAACCTTCAGGCAAGATAAATGTGGCCTCACCATCACTATCGTTGGCTTCTTATGCGACTACATCCTTTTAGGTGCCTTATTAGGCATGAGTAGAAACAAAGTAAGAGTGCAGAGGAAAGGGAAGAGAAGTTGGTTTCCGGCCCTGGGTTATGTCAGTGTTCTCCGCAAGTACGCCATTCGAACTGAACCTCCACCTCTGGCGTACAGGATATATTTTCAACAATTCATACGCCTCACTCTCGGCTTGTACGTTGTGAATAAATCAGGACGCTTAAGAACAAATCATTACACCGAGATTATGAATGTAACGGAGAGCTAAAATTTCTCACATAGGGGATCTGGGTTCTACTCTATGCTCTAGACCTTTCCTTTGGCGTTCTTCTGAAGAGGATCTCCT